CAAGAACAAGTAATAACAACAATAATCAATATCATCATAGTGAGCGGCAGCGGCGGCAGCGGCAGGACCGGCGTGGGGCCGGTCCAAAGGCCTCAGGGGGTCGCATCCAGCCCCCTGGGCCTTAGGTTGCCTACCCCTGATCTAGACACTATACTTCTATTGATGCAGCCTAAAATTGCATTGGCCTTTTTAGCTGCTGCATCGCACTGTTGACTCATGTTCACCTTATGGTCCACCTGGATTCCTAGATCCCTTTCACACGTAGTCTCGTTCAGCCAGGTGTCCCCCATTGTATATCTGTACTTTTCGTTTTTCCGCCCTAAGTGCAGCACCTTTTCCTGGCATTTCTTTTGAAAAGAACTGATTCAGAAGCGTGTTCAACAAGTGGAAACGATGGATCTGAATTGCATTATTCTGGAGAGGAGGGACTAATGCCAGAGGGGTGTTTACCATCCCGACTCAGTTTTTAGTAAATCAGCCATTTTCCCCCCTTTTAGCGCTGCCTTTGCTTTGCAGTATGACCTATGGTGATTTTCCTCCCTTCCCCATGACTTTCCCCAAAATCGGAGGTTTGCAAAAAGGAGGGCACAGACCCCCGATTTTCCTTCCTTCCCCACAACTTTCTCCAAGGCTGATGATGGCTTGCAAAAAAGAGGAACGGCCCCGTCCTCACCGTGTTGCCGCTTGCGTCACCGATGACGCGCAGATGATTGACATGCATTTTGAAGGGACGCAAACTAGTTGCAACAACAATTGCGCCAAAAAAGAAGCGATTACAAAGGAATAATGAAAAGATCCACTTTCATAGTGGGAAAGACAGACCTTTTGGAACCGATTTACTGACACGGAGCAAAGGCAAATCGCAAACCGCTTTAAATGTAAGTGAGAATGAGGCTGGAGAGTGGCAATTTTAGCCCAGCAGGAAATTAAAGGCATTCCACTGAAAGGAGAGTTTTTGATCCAAGCAAACTGTGTAGACAGAAGAAGTAAAAGTAGGCTGACCATTTGTTGTTGATGTGTGCCTTCAAGTCATTTCCGAGTATGGCAACCCTAAGGCAAACCTATCATGGGCAAGATTTGTTCAGAGGAGATTTGCCATTGCTATCCTCTGAAGCTGAGAGAGTGTGACTAGCCCAAGGTCTCCCAGTGGGTTTCTATGGCTGAGCTGGGATTTGAACCCAGTTCTCCAGAGTCACAGTCCAATGCTCAAACCACTTCCCATGCTGGTTCTCCATACTTACCATTTTAAATGGGACAGTACCGATTTTCTCCCTCATATATCCAGAATGTCCCTTCATTTTAATGTCAATGTCAATGCTGTCCCATTTTCAAGAAAAATGCCCTCCTGCGATGCCAAAATGGTTTGAAGATCCCTCTTTGAAGTTGTGTTGGTCATTTGCAAGAGATCAAGGGTCGATGTTCCAAACATACATTCGTTTCATTGAAAATGATAATATTTCAGCTACCAAAGCAGCCAGAAACTTGGAAAATCTTGTAAACAATTTAGAATCTAGAAAAAGTGAAGGGTTTGTCACTATGAATACAAAATTGTGTCATGGAGTGTGAGAAGTTTTATGATAAGGTGTTGAAAGACCAACATTTGCTGCATAAGATCACTTCATTGGAGAAATATTTGTGGTACAATCATGTGAAATACAGCCCCTTTCTATAGCTACCTAAATTTTTGTATGAGTTTTGTCACTGAAGAATAATTGTTAGCTTAGTGTATTCATGTAATAAAACATTTGTTATTGTCTTGCTTTTTCAGGAATATGGAATATTACATAGCTCTGTCCCATTTTTGCTATCTCAATGTCCCGGTTTTGTCTCAAGGAAATGTGGTCAGCCTATGTAAAAGCCCACTTGGCTAATTTCCCCATAGGATTGGGGCAAGGGGGAAAGACCCTGAATGGGGGGAAAGAGGGTAGGATACTGCTTGAATCCTGTCGGGGGTTTCAGTCCAGCCCAAGAGAGGTGTGCAAGTGTAGTTATGGAGTAGATTCAGAGAATTATTAGAATCAGAGAATGGTAGAGTTGGAAGAGGGCCATCTAGTCCAATGCCCTGCCATGCAGGAACTCACAATCAAAGCACCCCTGACAGATGACCA